CTTGCTCTGGTGCAATAGGGAAGGGTCTTGCACACAGGAAGTTATAGGCCCTGTTACACACATTTGTCTTTCCTACTTTCCAGCAATACTTGAAGTGCACAGAGACACTGTACCATGCTGCGCTGGAAGCTGTTGACTTTAGCAATGCTCTCGAAGAAACCAGAAAAAAAATTAACACCTGGGTGGAAGAACAGACCAGTGGTAAGTCCAGGAAATATTGGGTGCTTGGATGAATACATACATATGAGAATTAATGAGTAATATAATACCTGAAGATGAAGTTCTTTCTGCTTTGCTAAGCCTCACAGGCTTTTCAATTTTTCCACAACATTGTCCTTTACTTGTTAATGCTAGAAAATTGGACACAGGTTCAAGACTTCTTTGAACATGTCTATCCTGCCTCCCAGCAGAACCAAGAACTGCTACCAAGTTACAAGTCTCTTTCTCAGGAGAGTGGCACTGAGTCGTTCACTCCTGACCTCTACGGGCCAGCCACTCTGCCCCAGGAGAGCCTCAGAGTGGTGCCAGGGCATGCACTCAAGACCGCTGTAACTTACTGATCTGCCTAATGATTAGGCTTGCCCAGGAGAGTGGGCAGGTTTGCTTCTTGACAGTGGTCTTAAGCTTGGCAGAAAAGAGCTAAATAGACATGGCCTCTGAGGTCTTCTGGCTTGCAGCTCTACAATAGTTTACTGTTGATGCATCAGTTTCATTTCAAGATCATTCTTGTCATCACTGAACTCTGAATTATTATAAATCAAGTCTAGTGGAATATCTGAACAAAGTATGTTAATGCAGCTGAATTGATTATTTTTAAAGGTAAAATCAAAGAGTTGTTCACAGAGGGCATTCTAGGTTCAAACACTGTCCTGGTGCTGGTCAATGCTATCTACTTTAAAGGAAAGTGGACTGTGCAGTTTAAGGAAGAAGACACCAAGGAAGAACCTTTCAGGTTAAACAAGGTACTGTACAGGCAAGGGCTAAAGTGAAGGAAACCTAACCCTCTCTCTTATTCTACCAAAAGAGGTTGAGAGCTTCTCCTTGCTGCCTGTCAACACTTTTATCTAACTCTACAGAGATTCTGCTACCGGAAGTTACTCAGGGGTTGCTCTGACATTCATCCCTCCACAATGAAGTATCCTCAAGGGGTTTCGGGTAGAAGATAACTGACTTATTTTGTTACAGGTACCTGGGCAACTGGGGCTTCTATTTAGATACAAAAGCCTGGTAAGGGGAAAAGGTCACGTGAGCTGAACATACATATCACCTGATAAAAAGTTGTGTTCATGTTCTGTTATTGAGCCTGAACAAATCCAAATCTATGAAAACAGGATTCTAGCACAGCACTGTTCTGGCTTTCTTATTATTGAGTTCCAAAATGAGGAACATAAATGTACCCAGGGTGTTTCACCTAATTCTTCTCCTTAATAAATGGATGCTTTTCTGTGATGTTCTTTAAGATAAGTTTCTTCACTGAAATGTCAAAAAAATGCATGATAGGATTGAGGGAAATTCTATCCAAACCCATGGGTCAGAAAAAATGTTGAATTTGCTTTCTCTAAAATGAAAGGGAAAAAGATTATTAACTTTTTGAGAGTGGCTGAAAGGGAGGAAGGCAATGTGCAACGGGGGCTGGCTACCCTTGGAGAAGTCCATCCTGGGCTATAAACAGATCCTAGACCCAGTTTGACTCTGTGATTTTTTCCAATATGCAGATTCTGGATAGGGGAATGTCTGTGCTTTCTACTTCTCTTCGTGTCTGTTCTTTATATTACAGAATCAGACCAAGAATGTGCAGATGATGTTTCAGAAAAACGAATACAATCTGGCCATCATAGAGGAACCTGAGATTCAAGTGCTTGAGCTCCCCTATGGTAAAGAAAAAGAACTGAGTATGTTCATTCTTCTACCAAAGGACATCAAGGATAACTCCACTGGCCTGGAACAGGTAAAGCCTCTGGTCTCTGAGCGTGCATATAAATAGCCCTTATATATGCTGCATGTGAATGTACTGAAATCTTTGCTTATCTTCAGTTATCTGGGCCGTACAGACAGAAGATGACAGACAATATTAGAGTTTATTTATCTTTTCTCCCCTTTACTGTGGATGTTGGAAGATGGCCATTATTAGACCAAAGGCCTTTTTTTTTTTCATTTCTTTAGACAAAATATAGATAGCAAGTTGTTAATGAATAAAACTTTGGGGATTTTTAAAAGAATTTCAACCAAAAATCCTGAAAATATGACATTTTAATGATAATCTAAAACAAAAAAAAATTAATGGGGGAAGGGTAAAGAAACAATTGTGTTGATTATATATTTCCCACATATCAATTAAAATTTGATATTTTTATCTCAAAAGACACCGGAAAATAAATTTGATATTTTTTTCTCACAGGACAAGATTAAAATATATTTGGAAGAGTTCCTACCTTCCATTCTTCAGTTGACTCTATTAGTGAACTGTGTTCTTGTGATGCATTTGTTTTTTTGTAGTTAAATATAATAAGCATGCTAAACATGAAAGTGAAAACCAGATTTTGCTCCATGTGCACAAATCCAGCTCTTTAGTCTGTCTTTTCACCCTAAATTTTCTATGCTTCTGTTTTTCCTCCTGTAGCTTGAAAGTGCACTCACCTATAAGAATTTACAGGAATGGACCAGCTTGGCTAAGATGCAAAAACAAAGCGTGAGCGTGTATCTGCCCCAGTTCAAGATGGAGAAAAGCTATGGCCTTGGCAGAATTCTGGCAGCTATGGGAATGCCGGAGCTGTTTGACTCTTCAAAGGCTGATTTATCAGGAATATCAAGAAACCGTGATGTGTTCATGTCTGCAGCCATCCATAAATCTTATGTGGAAGTTAATGAAGAGGGTACTGAAGCAGCTGCTGTTACAGGGAGTGCGATGGGAACTACAAGTGTTGAGATTCCTTATGAGTTTAAGGCTGACCACCCCTTCCTCTTCTTTATCAAACACTGTGGAACCAACAGCATTCTCTTCTATGGCCAATGTACCTCCCCTTAGGTACATTAAAGGTACAGGAAGACCTAAAGCATTGTTGTAGTGAGGATAAAAGATAATATTTCTCAAGTTTTTTTTTTAAGTTTTGCAAATTTGAAATGAGAGGATTCTTCATGCAACTGCATCCAAAAAAAATCTCCTAATCTAGTGGTTGGCAACCTTTAAGCTGAGAGCTAAAACAACACAGTTCTGCTCTGTTGTGAGCCAAGTGCCTTTGGCAGCACATTGGCAGTGGGGAGTTTTTCCTGTGCCCATGCCAGGGCCAGGCAGCTGGTAGCTGTGTCCGTGCCATTGCCACTGCTTCTCCCCACCGGCTGGAAGCTTTTGCCCATGCTACATTTGAGAGAGGGTGGTGGCAAAAAGCAGCAGAGGCACAGGCACAGCTGGAAACTGCCCAGCCCTGGCACAACCCCTCGCTGCCTGGCCCTGACATGGGGGCAGGTGCAGGCACAGGCAAAGCTCTCCATCTCCAGTGGTTCTGCAGGCTGAAACTGAATATGTTGCTGGCCCCTCTTCTATTATGTTATTGTCTTTCGCCTTTATATTGCTTACAGTTTATTGTCTTTATATTGGGTTATTATAACATAACCAGGGCAGCCATCTCCTAAATTTGAGATCCTTTTGACTCCATTAGGTGCTCTTGTTTCCATGTGTTTTAAGCTGAGGAAGGTGCAAGTAAATCAGGAGGGCAAGCTGATGCCTCTCTTCTCACAAATGGTGGCTGGAAATGTTTCCCACAGTGAGCCCAATTTTGTGGCTCCCTGGGGCCTTTCTCATATAAAACCCAATTTTATGCCTTCCCTCATGTCCTGGCATTACTCCTCAAATATATCCACATTGCCACAATTTGAAGAGGCATGTTCCCATGTAGAGGTAATAGGATAAACCATCAGGTGTATGAAGTTTTCTAGTCACACGCTATACCAACAGCTACACAGAGACTCTCTCTTCCAGCATCATTCACATCCCCACCCTGGCTTTTGCTTAAGCCCATGGAAGAGAGAGATACTGTTGCAGAGGTAGCTGACCTTCTCTCTCTGTCTGAATGCTGGGAAGCAGGATGCAGCCTTCAAAATAACTCAGCTTTCTGTCTGAGAGGGGCTGCACAGTATTTGGCCCTGATTTATTGTTTCCAGATGAAACTCTAAATGTGGTCATCTAATGTGGTCACCTGTGTCCAGTTGTTTACCAGTTTAATCTCTGCAGTTTAGACTAACCTGCAAAGACAATAGATTCACCCTCAGGCTTTTTGACTGTCTGTACTTAGCCCTAGATACAAAAGGCTGCCTGTTCAGCAATGATGCAAATAAATGACTCAGTCACATGTAATGAGCTTCTGGAAATTATTTCATGCTTCTTGTATTATAATAAAACTACAAAGAGTGAATTTGAGCACATTAACTGCAATAGGTGCCTGGGCCATACATCCTGGTGGAGACAGTCCAGTACTCATAGACCATGGGAAAATGTTTCCAAAGTGACTAAGGGCCAGGTCATGATCATCTTCCAAGATGTTGCTCTTCTGTCTTCTGCAAACATGAAAAATATTCCCCCACTCCAGGAGACTGATCCAAAGAGATGAGGCAAGGTGACCAAGGTTTACTCTGCATAGAATGGGGAGGCTTGCATGCCTCTTAAGAGTGACCCAGGACATCTGGGCATAAAGGGGGCAGAGGCCTAGTCCTAAACAACAGGAATCAGAGGGTTGCCCCTGAAATCCTGCTCCTCCTTAGAGCCCAGCTGCCTGGCTCAGGGTGGTACATCTGGCACCAAAGGGAACCCACTTCTGAGGCAAAGCTGCAGTTGTGTGCACCTTTTGCATAAGGTTGGTGGTTAGAGCACTCTCTCAAGACGTTGGAAAGCTGGACTCGAGGTCCCCCTCAGGCTGGAAAGACTGCAGCCCCCATTTCCTAATTCCCACAACAGTGAGCTAAGCCCTGACCACAAAACTACAGGCAAGACTGGAACAAGGACGCCTTCTACATCTCCTGAATGACCAATGCGCAGAAAGGAATTAATGAATGACAGGATGGAAAGGGGATCACAGTGTAGAGAGCACTCATCTGAAGTCCAGTGTTGAGCACATGTCTTGAAAAAACTTTTGTGTCTCCATTCTGCCTGTTCCAAGGACTGGTTAAGTATCATATATTAAAGAGTCACTGGGTAACATGGAGAGGAAATAATTTTTGGAGTCCCCACAAGTTTGTGGCTAAGGAGGAGCCCTGCTACTATAACTGAACTAAAACCATTCCTCCCATCAAAAGGCTTTGGGGGCAAGGAAGCTTTTGTCCTGAAGTTGATGTTGCTAGTGGGGTTGTATATACCTGAGGGCTGTTTGAGGAAAGGCTCAGAAAAAGGCAAACCCAAGGTATCAAAACCTGGGGTGATGCTCAATATGTTGTACAGTTCTGCCATTTTTTGTAAGCAAAGGAGGTGCCTGAGAGTCCATGTACAGAGAATACTTTGTGTTCCCCAAGGACAGTTCTTGTAGTGGACAATGATCACAAGTTTATCTGATTTGCATGTTTTCTTAGACTAAAAACCACAGATGCGTAAACAGCAGAAACAACACAGTGAGACTTGCTGTAATGCCAGGAGACAAGTTCTGAAGCTTTCCTGTACCTCACAGTCTGACTCCCACATATACTCAAGAGGATCTCAAACAGTGGTGCAAAGGAAAGTTGGGTGGACTTCCAAATTCTAAAGAATTATTCCTTTTGCACACCTTGGAGTTGCCCTCTTTTCATACAGTCTACTTGATTTCTCATCTATACCCATCCAAAATGTCCATATGAGCCCATAACACCTCTCTTCTTATGCTACTCCCTAATATAACCTTAGGGATTCTGTCCCCCTTTACATTTTCCTCCAAGTCTCTGAGGTCCTCTGACCTTTTGCTCATCCATATCCCCATCAAAACAGTTTCTATGCACTGCCTCTATCCAGTGTGTATGTAAGGTGATGAATGCTGTTGCTGTAAAATTCTAGGAGGTAGTCCCATGGGAAGGCTTCGGGAAGGCATGAGGCAGTGGATCAGCAGTGAAAGAAGAAAGAGAAGAGCTTTCAGGATAACATTGTTCTGTCTATTTTAAAGAAGTTGTTTGTATAACTTTACAAGAAAGCAGCTGTTTCTTCAGCTGAGTTATAGAGTTAAATTTCTATCTAAGAAATTTCTATTTGTTTACCATAACCAGACTTCAAACATAATGCCTTGTTTGTTTAAAAGGACTCCATATGACCAGGACTTGCAGAAGATGAAATGCAACAACTTACCTTAAAACCTACTTTCAAATTCTATGTACCACTGCCAGCCCCTTTCAGAGTATGCTGAGAGATGATTTCATAGGTAACAAGCATCTCTACAGTTGACTTGTCTCTCAATATGCCCTCTTCAGTTTCCATTTCTTTCCAGGGAAAGTAGGTTTGAGAGAGAAATACAGATTTTCCATCTTCTCCCCTCTCCCTGGCCTCACGTGTGCACGCATGCACATGCAGGCTCGCATGCACACACACACTCACAGATCCACACACAGACACATGCTCTACACGGTCAGGGCTCAGGACTGGCTTGGAAAATGGGATAGCCATGATTGGGCTCTTGCTTTGCCTGAATCAGAATGATGTGGGAGCCCTTCTCTAAGTAGGGGAATAAATATAAAGCACTTCTGATTTAGGGAAATATAAGCGTCCACTTCACTCTCAAAGTCTGAATTCTCTTTCTCTCTCTATTACTCTCCATTTCCAATTCCTCAACATGTGCTTTTCGCCTCTCATTTTTAGTGTTTAGTGTTGCTTCTTTCCTCTCTCTCCTTGTCTCTGACCATGTTTCCCTCCTCTTCCTACTGGCACCCTTCAATACAGAAATATATTTTGAGATTTTTGCATTTGTTCCAAAACACATCCCTAAGCCCTGAATTGTCCTCTTTATAGTGACTCGGTTTTTAAATCTCCATATTTCCTTCTCTTTCTCTTGCTCTCCCTCATTTAAGCACCCTATGCAAACCTTTACACTCTGGTTTCCTCCACCTCTGCTTCACTAGGTAGAATCATGTAGTAAATCATTTTAGGCTTAGAGCAATTGCATGTAAAACCACCTTCCTCTCCTGCCTTTTTAGGAGAGCAGTCTGTTGCAAGGTTTCCTGCAAACGTTGTTTCCACAATACCACAATGATGCAATGGAAACTAGAACAAACCGTTGTACAAGAGACTGAAGTTTGTTTTTCCAGGGCTTCCTGATTCTACCTGTGTGATTCAACATGCCACAGCTACATCTCTGGATGCTCGAGTTTGGAGGGCACGGTTAATGATGTCCTGATCTATTTTCTTGTAGCTACACTGCACAGGAAAATAGATCAGGTTTTGTCCAGTGGATTCAGCCTAGTATCTCCCTAGTATCTCTGTTTAATCCGTGTTACACATTCTAGACCTCTCTGCATGCACTGCTGCATGTGCCACTAGTGGCATTCCTTGTATGTGATTCTGGCAGGCCCTCTATCCCCTGTTGTGGCTGAGTGAGCTCAGTGCCCAAGTCCTTCTCCAGAATCACTGATGAAATACGGGGAGGTAGTGCGGCAAAGCCCAAAACATTCTCATTTGGCACATTAAAGTATTGTGAAAAAAGGCTGCATGGACACAACATGACCAGGCTTGTTACATCCATATCCAATGTGTTTCACAACCCTTTCCATCAAAGTTATGCTGGAGCAACTAGTGCTTCACAGCTGTAGCAGAAACATTTGACCTTCCCAGCAAAACATTCCTCAACACCACAGAGGAAGTTTAGTAAAATGTAGTTCCTTCATTCTACCTGAAGGTTTTCTGCCATATTTTATATTTATGCATTTTAATTTTTCCCTTTTTTGTTTTTCTCTTTGTTAGCATCTGAAGGAAGCAGCCAAAAATGGATGGGAGCTAAGGTTTAAACATCCTATAAATATTTATGCATTTTTGCAACCAATGAGACTACTCAGGTAAACAAAATAGACAAGACAGAAAGGTGTAAATCTACCCTGCCTTCTGGATAAAGGTTTGCAAGATTTATTCCTAAAGGAAAGAGAAAAATCCATCTCTCTCACTTTGGTAAGTAATCTAAACTGTTCCTTTTCCAGACAGAATCATGTCTTTATAGTCGATTTTGCTCCTTTGACTTTGCTTCAGAGAGACCAAGATTCTTATAAACTGTCACTTCCATGAAATTCCCCTACTATTGCACACTACTTCAAGAGGGAAGCAGCTGAATCATTTTGGATGGAAGTTGTACCAAGCCATGGTGAAAGTGACAAAGGCCTTATATTTCACAAAGTAGTATTTCATAATGAAAAAATGGTTTCTTTCAACCTATAGAGCACTTTCCCCCCAAGTCACTCATCAATTGACTTCATTTTATGGCAATGTACCAGGGTTCAGTGCATCACAGGCTGATTTGGGGGTGAAGGAGTGGCCAATTTGTTGTGGGGTAAGTCAACTTGCTGGTCCCCTAAACTGTGAATTTAAAACGCTGAAGCAGGTTTAATCACCTTATGTTAGTTGATTGGGTAGAGGTGCTTGGATGGGATGTAAAAAACAATATCCTGTGTCTGTGTCATGGTGAATAAGCCCAGGTCACTTTCTGCCAAATAAGTAGGGTTTTGCTGAGGGCTTTGAAGATCATTGTGATTATGATGATTGTTACGCTCATCATTCAAATGTAACTGGGGATATTAAAGTTTGTTTTATAATGTCACTGTTAACCTTAGAATACATTTGCTAAGAATTAGTCCCCACCACTAATCAGGAGGCAGAAAACTCAGACAAGAGAATGCTTGATTAGAGGAAGATCTTTCTTGCACTGGTGGGGTGAATACCAGTAGCAGAAGGCATTTTCAATTCCAGACCATTTGGGGGCAAGACTCTATATATCAGTATGTCTGTGTACAAGAAAGAAAAATGAGCTGCCAGCTCCTCTTAGAAGGAAACTTGTTCTATATTGGAGTATCTTGAGATCCTTTCAAGTGTGCTGAGGGATACCACATGGTGTTCGCACTCTTAGGGGTGCAAACATGATTCACAAGATAAATCCAGAGATTTCAAATAGGCATTCATAGTGTTAAAATCATTGGGCTGCTTCGATTCGGCTCAATGTGCTGCAATCCCAGGCACACATTCAAACGTCACACCCAGGAACAATGAATTAGGCCTGAACTGCGCCAGAGTTTATACATTTGAATTAATTGCATGTGTAGACACACCCGTTGTCATTTCTTTAATCTTAATACTAATGTGTGCAGCAAACAAGGGATGAAGGCTAAAAGGCATTTTGGGAACTTCCCTTGTCTCAGGATTATACCAAAAAAGGCCTCAGTA